ATTTTCTGTGTTGCTTTGGCTTTTTCTCCTCAGCACTGATAACACCAGGGGAAAAGAAATGCCAAAATATAAAAGCTCTCCTTATTAGGCAGTAAAGGATGATCGAGCCCCAGACCTTCAGGAGAGAGGAAAAGGCAGTTTTTAATTGCCAGAAAGCATTCCAAGGCTGTACCCATGTACCTGCAGCTGTGGGGAGGTTTAACTTCTGCAGTCTGCTGGGGTGTGCGGGGGGAGCTGGGTCCATCCCCCTTTTTATCTTTATATTTATCTATATATTTATCTTTGCCATCCCTCATCCTGCAGGAGAGCAGGTCCCAGCGCTGCCCTCTCCCCCTCCCGAGGCCATTTGTCCCTCCCTGTGCAGTGGTACAAGGTGATGCCTGGGGTTTGGCACCCGGGGGCACAGAGAAGCTCAGAGCAGGCAATTATTATAAAAACAAATATTCAACACAAAGGTGAGCATCTAACCTCCCTCCTGGTGTGTCCTCCCCCTCCTGGGGCTGCTCAGGCGGCTGCAGCGGGATGGAGCGCACAGGCAAGGCGAACCTAGAGAAGAGGAGAAAAAAAAGAAACCACAAAAAAGGGCAAAGAGAAAAATCTCAGCGTTGCATTTAGGAAGCAGCAGATGATACCTCCTGTGTCTGGTTTGCTTGGAGCCAACCCCATGGCCCCGGGAGCGGGTCTGCAGACCTGGGGGGGCGGAGTGTGAGAATAAGGCAAAGGGAGGCAAAGTGCAGGCAGCTGCCCGTGGCACAGGGGGAGGGCTCTGGAGAGACTCCTGAGGCCTGATCTGGTGCCTGTGTTAATTATTTTGGCCTTTTGTGTCACCTCTAACTGCAAAGTGTCCACCGTTGCCAGCGGTCAGGGCTGGAGCTGCGATGCCCAGGAGGACGGCCGCTGCCACGGGGCAGGCTTCTGCATTTTATTTATGAATTGTTAATAAAGACATATAAAAGCTACTTTTCTTTCCTCTGTAGGTAACTCCTGGACCTCTTCTTCTTTTTCCTTGCCCGATGCTGTGGTGTGGGGGAGGCTGCCGGGATGGGGAGATAGGGTTGGCAGGTTCACTGCCCCAATGGCACGGTCCTCACCTCTGCCGCAGCCTCTGCTCCCCAGGGACCAGCAGATCTGGAGCAAAAATGGTGTTTTATTGAGGTGAGAAAAAGTGTAGGCTGGAAACCAACCTGCGCCGACCTTCTCCTCCCACCCACCACTTGCCTCTGGCCACCGAAGGGAGATATCAGCTCTGCACATGAACATATGAGAACCATCTCTCACTCCCTTAGCAAAAAAAAAAAAAAATAAAAATAATAAAGAAAGAAAGAAAGAAGGAAAAAAAAAAAACCCCACCTCCGACAATCCAGAGTGAGAATTTAATCTTCAAGTCTTGCTACAAGGAGGCAAAGCATAAACCAATAAACAGCAAAAGTACATCTTATAAACTCTGCAAGGTAAAGATGTGAGCCCAGTTAGCTGTACGTAGGAGTGAGGAGGATGGTGAGAGGCTTTAGAAGTACCTAAAGGAGGAGAAAGACCGTGGGGAGCAATAAACCAGGTGCTTAGCGGGGTTTTAGGGAAGCTTGAGGCTTTGGTGGTGGTGATGCTCTCGCCCTTCCAGAGCAGAGCTGAGGGAGACAGACTGGCATCCCTGATAGTTGCCCACTGCATCCCGATGGTTGCCCACTGGCATCCATCCCCGACAGGGGCTGGAGGGCAAGACCTTGTCATAACCATCCCGGCTCTAAAAGTAATATTGAGTACTTCTGGTTATCTACAGCTGGGAACACACCCAGCTTCGGATATTCCGGTCTTTGTAATTGAATTATTTAGGGGCTGGCATGGCGTGATGAAATAGGCTTTCTTCCTATTTTTAGGTTTCCATCTACAGGGCTGGAAATTACAGCCATTAAAATGTTCTATTAGTAATGATATATAAAGGGGAAAAAAAACTGATCAGACTTTTCTAGTGCACATAGAGCATTAGGATATCATTAATTTTAATGATAGAGCCCAAAATTACAAAGCTATTACAATCATACTTGAAGTTTCCGAAAAGAAAAAAAAAAAAAAAAAGGGAATCATTCTAAATTATTACTAATGAGTAAAAAAATATTTAAATCATATTTAACAGACCTTAAAATTATAGCTGATATTGCCACGAGCTAACGGCGGCTTCGGCTGCGCTGTTTCCTGGTGCTGACAAACAAACGTCCCGCGCGAGGAGGCAGCGAGGGGGGTCCCGGGGGATTTGCAAGAGGCATTTTTGGAGGCAAATGGGGATGAAGAAGAGGCCACCAGCCTCCTCCCGGGACCGCTTTGGGGCTTTAATGTCACCACGCTCAGCCCCTGCTCGGGATTCCCTGCCGTGGAGAGGAGCCCAGAGACTGTCCCAGGGCCCGGAGAGAGGTATACCTGGTGTCCCTGGGAGATGGGAAACCACCTCCCCCTGCCTTTCCGGGGTTAAAAGTGGTTTCTAAGTCCATCAGCTGCTGAGCAAAAAAATATAATTACCAGCCCTGAACGCTTTAAAGTAGCGGCAATTAATGTCCTTTGGAAGGCTGCAGATTTTTATCTTGATTTTCTTTTAAAAAAATAAATGACTAAGGAACAAAGTCCTTCGACAAAGCAGATGGGGGAAAAGAAGAAACTTGAAAACAGACACCCCTGAGCCCGGAGGCAGCCGAGGCTGGTTGTGGTGCTCTCCCTCCTGCCTCTGGGAGCACGGAGGGGGCTGTGACCCCCCCAGGAAAGTGGCTGGGATTTACCCCTGCCCACCCGTGCTGTGCCCCTGGGAACCTGGGATCCTGCCTTTATGGAGACGGTTGCAATAACTGAGCGAGCAGCCCCTGACCCTGAGCAATGAGGCACTTCAGAGCTGTGAACCAGGGACAATTTACTGCCCTGCCCTGGAGAGCCTGGGCTGTCTCTCTGTCACCGAACTCTTCACTTCCTTCTGCAAAATCCCATGTTATCCAAACCCATGACAAGGTCTCCTGTCGGAGCTCAGATCCCTCATCCACCTCCTGTGCTTCGTTCTGTCGAGACCGTGTAGAGCCAGGAAGGAAAAAAAAACAACCCCAAATGGGTCAATATCAGCGGGTGTGTTTCCAGCTGCACTAACCCGAGGCTGTGATTTCTCTCTGTTACTAAACCCGTGTATCCAAAGCACAGAAACCTCTTCCAGCCGCTGGGAGGTTTCCAGCTCCATCCCCTCCTTTGGTGGCCCATCCGCAGCAGGTACCTCCCCACATCCCCTCCCTCCTGCCTTGGAAAACAAACAAAACCTGCATGGTTTCAACCTACCTGCAAATGTTGGCTGAAAAAATCCCTGGAAATCCTGGGTCTGGGAGGAAGAGATGCCCATGGGGCATCTGGGAGCTGGAGGGGCGATGGGGATGCAGCAGGACATGGGCACCACATCACAACCTGGTTTCTGAGGAGGAAGGGCACCCATGGGCACCTTCTGCCTGCCCTGTGAGCCCTCCTGGCACTGAGATTTTATTTCTGTACCCTTTCTGCCAGCTTCAGGCTGAGCTGCAGGACCCCGGCGGCAGCGGGTTTGGGGCAGGGACCTTCCCCTCTAAAAAGGACCAGCAGCTCCTCAGCAAAGGTGATGCCACCTCTTCCCACATCGACTATGAGTCCACTTTAACCTCCAGCCTCACCACACAGCTTGCTGGGGGCACTGGAGAAAAGGAATATATGGGGAAGGAGCAGCCAGCAGAGGCATCTCCCTAAGGAAAAGCTCTTCCCACCTGCTGGCTGCTGTCCCAAAGCTCCGTGAAACATCTCAGGGCAGAATACCTAGAATAAATACACGGGCTCATAATGGTCTATGCAACATTAAAACTATTTTCCAGGTACCTGATATTTGAGACGTCGCAATAAAAGGGTCAAAAACTTTTCAAATTCATTAGGACACGGCCTCAAAATAGCTGCTTCGTTAAGTGCCACGGAGACGGGCAATAATGGGAGGCGAAGCAGAGAGCCCCGGAGATTGGATGCGCACACGGTGCTGATAAATGGCTTCTCTGTGGCTATTCCAGAGCTGACAAGGGGAGAAATGCCATCCCACGGTTGAACAAGTCTGGAGTTTAGTGCGAAAAACTCAGGGAACTGCCTTGGCTGGAATAAAACATCACAGCTGCTGCCTCGCAGGAGGCAATGTGACCTTCGGGAGAGAGGGGCTGCAGGAAAGAAAAGGGGCCAGTTGCTGGAGGTGTGGGGGGACCTGCCTGGCATCCAAAGCTCTTTGGTCTATCCTTGGTGAAGCCACCGGCCCCAGATCCTGGGGATCCCCAATACCTGGGGGTCCCAACATGCCCACCAGGGGTTAGTGGGGTCTTCTGGTCGATCCCACCCCTCCAACACGTGGAGAGGAGCCACGGCCTCGGGTTCTGCATCCCCAAAGATTCGGCTTGGTGGGCTGTGGTGGGAGATCTGGGATGTGCAGGATGTAACCGCCAGCCCCTTCCTGATGGATAAGGGGGAGGATGGAGACGGACGGTTTTCTCTGGCCGGGGTAATAGAGTCAGCAATTCCACTTGGCTGAGCACAAGGGTTTTATGACGTTCCCCGCGCAGCGTTGAGCAAAACACCCCGGTGGCAGAAGATGTATAAGGCTATCTGTGGTGCGGTCTATTTTCTAAATGGAAGCTCGCTGTTTAAGAAGAAAGCGCTTTAACACTTTGGAAAAAAAAAAATAGGAAGGTCCCCAAAGCTGAATTTCTGAGTGCTCATTTCGCAGCTCCCAAAAAAAAAAAAAGCCGGGTTCATTCCCGAGCGGCAGCGGGTGGCACCGCTCCAGGCAGCACTTTGTGTGTGTGTAACTTTGAGCAGACCCACGGTCCCAGCACCATCAGAGGCATTACTCGCACCCTTAAATTTAAACATCTGCTTCACTGTGTTTTTAACATTTAATTTTTTATTTTCAACCCCAAAGCTGGCACCGGATTCATTCCCAGACTCACCCTGACCCAGAGGCAGCTGTGGCCGGGGGTCCTACTGTCCCCCACCATCCTGGGGGGCTCTCCCTTGGAGTCAGCTCTGCCACCAGCCTTTTCCATACTCATCCTCGTTTCACAACGCCAAGGTGCAGTTTGATTTCTGGAATAAAGAGGCTGATATAAAAGCCCCTTGCTCAAGCACGTCCTTCACGAGAGGCTGCTCCCACACCCCAGCAGTGGGGTTCCCAGGGGAGCAATGTGCCCAAACACCAACCCCCGCCTCCCCGAAGGCTGGCAAAGGACATCTGCAAGCTCCAGGTTCAGAGCTGCCCGACGGCAAGGCTTCTCAGCCAAGTTTTGCCACTCATTTTGCACGGTGGATGCTCCCGCTGTCGTCCCTCCGAGTCGAGACACCTCTCCCTGGCACCCTTCCCCGCGGCACAGCACGACCTCCCGGCAGCACCGGCATCTTCCCCGTCCTTGTCAGGGAAGGGAAACATCCACCTCCCGCTCCTGCCCTTGTCGCTGCTCCTGGAATTCATGTAAAAGCTGATTTTTTGCCTGATTTCCATGGGTGCAGCCAGAGCACGCCGCAGGCTCAGCCCTCACCTCCTTTCCCACCTCTCCTCGATGCCATGGGACATCTGTGGAGCCACAGACACCCAAAAAACTGTTTAAACTCCTCAAAACCACTCCAACATTCCATCCAAACCCGCTCGGATTTGCTTGGCGGGAGCCAGGCAGCTCCGTGATACCTGTAAATTCGGGCTGAGCTTCCCCAAATCTATTTGCCTGATCAGATTGATGTAGCAATTCCAGGACGAGGTGAATAATGAAAATGACTCATGAATATTTCATTTTTATAAATCACATAATTCATATCTATTCACAAATATTTGCTTTGCCTTATAAACCGGATGAATAATTTACAGAAATATGCAGCAAATATTTTAAAGAAAATATGAAATTCATTGACTACATTAATCAACAAATATTATTCAACTTATATTGGTTTAGCTCGTTGACAGATAAATTCTCTGTTTATGAGAGGAGCTGGAGGAGCAGGTGATATTTCCCGTATTAGAGCACGAGGAGATGAAGCTTGTTCCCTCCCACGACAGAGTTATTCCACACTTACCCTGTGGTGTGGGGCAGGATTCCCATCCGTGGCTCCAGGGGACCCTCTTTCAGCTCCAGGGCTGCCTTTTGGGGGCTTCTCTCTCTGTACCCCCAAGTTCTCCCCACTTGGGAAGGGGACTGGGGTTCCACCACCCACAGCACGTGGTTCTCCAGCTTTTGAGGAGCTGCCTCTTCTCACTGAAAAAGGCAGAGACCTGTTAAAAAACCGCCTTTGCCCACAGCCGATAAACATACACCACTTTTAGCAAAAAAAGTTATTTTTATGGCGAGAAAACAGTGGTACCTCAGCGCTTTTTTTTCAATTTTATTATTTCCTCAGCTTTTCAGTTTCATTTAGATGGCAGGACTCAGCTGTGCCAGCGGGAGCGATCACTGCGAAGGCTTCGTTGGTGGCTAAAGGGAGAAAGAGAAATACCACTTTTTGCATTTCTGGTCTCTTTTGGGGACCCCACGTCCCTGCCATCCCCATGTCCCCACCATCCCCGTCTCCCTGCTGTCCCCATGTCCCCACCATCCCCACATCCCTTTTTGGGGACCCCACGTCCCTGCCATCCCCACGTCCTCACTATCCTCATGTCCCCACCATCCCCACATCCCTGCCATCCCCACCATCCCTATTTCCCTGCCACACCACAGAGCCAGGGCAACGGGGACCCTCTACCAGCTTTTCTTGGCCAGCAGCTCTGCCAACAAATCCCCATGTCCCCACCATCCTCATGTCCCTTCCATCCCCACGTCCCCACCACACCACAGAGCCAGGGCAGCGGGGACCCTCTACCAGCTTTTCTTGGCTGGCAGCTCTGCCAACATGCAGTAAATAAACTGTTAAGTTTTCTCATTTTACAGTAATTCCCTCAATTATTTAGCTTTTTTTTTTTTTTTTAAATATCAGCTGCTTAAACAGAGCATTAAGCCACTGCATTAATCCACCTGTGTCTGGGTGATAAAGTGATTAATCTGATGTATTTGAGCTCTGAGATGGTTGGGTGGTGAGTGCCCTGATGGAAGGGGGGGGTTTTGCTGAGCTCTGTCCCACAAAGGGCTCGATCCCCCCAGGCAGACACCGGGGGGGTGGGGGGCAGAACATCCATCTCCTCCTGGAAAAGTCCTTGGCGTCTCCAAAATTTTTCACCCCAGGGGTTTGTGTGCTTTTCCTTTTCCTTACTTTGGGCAGCTTTCTACAAGCAGCGAGGTGGAAGGAAGGCTGATCTTTTTCCCCGTTTCCAAGAGATTTTGCAGTGGTTTGGGTTTGCTGCTGGAAGTCCCAAATTCCTGGGCTGGAATGAACATTTCAGATCTCTGCTTGGTGCTGGGATCCTCTTCTGGGGATGGAAGTGGAGCTGGGGTGGTGGGACAAGGCTGGGGGCACTTCTCATCAGCCCATCACCACCACGTTGAGATGCTGCTGGGTGAGATGTCTCGTAGCTCTGAGGGGACACTGTCAGCTCACATTTTTCCAACCCCAACGGTGGAGCAAGGAGCCAGCACCTGCAAACTCGTAAGAAAAACTGGGGAGAAACCTGGCTGTCAGAGCCGTGGAGGGTGAAGATGCAGTGATGACAGACAGGGAGGTGACAGGAGCCCCCTCTGCCACAAACTTGAATATATAAGAAGTTCCACCTAAAGACGAGGAGGAACTTCTTTGCTGTGAGGGTGGCAGAGCCCTGGAAGAGGTTTCCCAGAGAGGTGGTGGAGTCTCCTTCTCTGGAGACATTCAAAACCCACCTGGACACGTTCCTCTGGCTGGATCTGCTTTGGCAGGAGCTTGGATGAGATGATCTCCAGAGGTCCCTTCCAACCCCATAGCATTCTGTGATTTGTCAGAAGGGCTGAGGCACTTGGTGGCCATCCCAGCATGGGAAAACCAGGCTTCAGTTACCTTTCCATGTGGGAAACTGGGATTAATGGAGCAAGAATTGGGTCTGCTGCTGTCTCCTCTTCCTTCACAGCGCAGGAATGAGGCGAGGAGGGGTCGGGGCAGCCTCCTGGTGCCTCAGCTAAAGGCAGCTCCTTGGAGACCTCCCCAGCCTGAGTCTCAGATGTGGGGTCTGAGGGGGGTCCCCGGGGAGTGGGGCTGATGCAGACCCGGCCGTTTCCAGTGCTGGTTCCTGCAACCCAAAGTGAGTAAAACCTCACACCCCTCTTTAGTATTCCTGCCACTTGCGGTGCCTCCTGAACTATTCAGCTGTAACATTTGTAGGCCTATTAAGAGGGAAATACAATTTCATAGTCACAGATAAGAGATTAGACAGATCAATTCCTCCCCGCACACCGGGCTGCGAATAAAAAAAAAAAAAAACCCCAACCCTTTCCAAATGGTGACGTGGAAGGTTTTTGTTCTCCTGCTTTATTGAGCTGTGGGTCCTGCCACCAACTTTTCTGGTCGTGTTCTCATTAAGGCAGCAAGAAGTGTGTGGCCTAAATATTAAAATAGTTGGGACACACACACACACACACCCCCGTTTGGGGATTTTTGGGGGAGCTGAGCCCCTCTTTGGCAGCCAGGCTTGTCCCTGCTTTGAAACAGCCCCCTGTGGAGTAGAGCTTGATCCCTTGTCCCCTTTCCCACCCCAAGGGTTTGAGGGGGGGGACCCGTTTCCCTCTGGGGGGGTGGTGGGCGGCCGGCAGAGCCGTTCTGGTGGCAGGGAGTGTGTGTTGTGCCGAGGGGACTGTCACCCTACAGCACGAGGCGGCGGGCTGTGAGAAAAGAGGCTGTCAAAATATTTAGTGGCAGAGTCAGGCTGAAACCGCGACATCCGCAGATGGGGAATTCTGCATAAAGGCTCTCAAAAAAAAAAACAACCAAAAAACCCTCAAATACTGGTGAAAAGTGGTGCAGAGCCCTTTCCCTGCGTGCCTGGCCGTCACCCGTGGCTTAGGGGAGGCGGCTGCTCTCCTGAGATGCTCAGCTCAGAGGGAGACACATCCATTCCTTGGGGTCACAGCAGCTCATGCACAAACCTGTAAGGGGGGTGGTGGGTCCCAGCATGGATGGGAAACCTCCAGCTTCTCCCAGCCCCATGGAAAGGACATTGCTGGTGACCCCCGCAGCGACCAGGGGAGCTGGTGAAAAGCAAAAAGAAAGAGCAGAGAAACTGCTTTTTCCAAAGCAGAGCTGATCCGGAAAGGCTAGGAAAATGTAGGGAGAGGGGCTGAGAGGGGACCCTTCCCCGGTGTCTCTTTTGGGGACACCCAGCCCCAACCCCTCCCCAGCCACCCCTGAGCTCCTCAAACCCATGAACAGCAGCTCCGTGCCGGAGAACCCTGAATTATTTATGGCCCGTTATCATCCCCTAGGTATTATTTGTGTAAGCATTAGTTTCTGTAAAGTGTATGAAAGAAGCTGTAAAATACTGAGCATCTCCCCACTCCAGTTGGGAGCTGATTATTTTCCTGCCTGATTTACCCAGCTCCATCACAGCAATTTAACCCTTTGTGATAGTCGGAGTTGGGGGTGTGTGAGCGCTTCAGTGTGTTGTCAGCCCCTATTTGCCCCCCCAGGCAAAGCCTCGGCCACCCCCATCCCCATAAAAAAGCTGATGTGGGCTCCCAACACCAGCCCTGGGCATCACAGGAGAGGAGAGAGCTGATTCCTCGCTCCCACGCTGGAAGCTTTTATCCTGGCAGGAGGAGCTCTTGACTGGAAAGTGGTGGCTCTTGTCTGGATAAATACATTTAGGAAAAAAAAAAAAAAAAGAAAAAAAAAAAGATTTATTCTATGTTATAATGAATTCAGTGCCTTTTAAATGTGACAGTGGGTAAAATACATCGTCCTTCCGCAGGCTTAAATGTCATCTGTAAAGATCAGGCTTTCTCTTCCCTCCTGCACGCTCATGGGCCATCCTTGAATTTACTGCTTTGGTTTTAGAGGGGACTGGGGCCTCAGGGCTGGCATGGCTCTGGGGACACAGCACCCCCATGTCCCTGCATCCCCATGTCCCTGCATCCCCGGGCACTGCCCGACGAGGGGACAAATCAGGGGAAAAGACTTTGAGGTGAGGAAAGCAGAAGGCGAAGCTCAGCAGCCTGCCCGGGAGATTAATGCCTCGTAGGGGTTCCTGGGTGGTGGTAACACGTTTCTTTTCGTGGCCAAGTCAGCAAAACAAAACAGAATTACACTTCAATGTAAATTTAGAGCCAAGCAAAAACTAAAATGGAAACGACAAAGCGGACTAGAAAATAGCCCTCAAACTCACTTAGCGCAGACATGACAAGAGGCTGGGACAAGGCCTGAGAAATTACTGTAGAAAGCTTCAGCACTTCAGAAAAAAACCAAATAAACTGTTCCAAAGACACAAAAACATTACCCTGAGCAAGCTGGTATTGATTGCAGGCACTGAACCAAGCTCACACCGCGCACGTCCTCTGCACACACTGTCCTCGGTGAGTTCTCCGTCATGAGGTGAACTTCTTCCTCCTCCTCCTCCTCGCACTGCCCCGGTCCAGCCCTCACCTTGTCAGGAAGAGAGGAAGAACCCAGCAGCTTTTCACCATGTTTCTCAAATCCTTTCCACCCACAAGCCCTGACATAGAAATAAAAGGCCTTTTCCTGCAGTGAATTCATCACACAAAGTCTCCCCCACCCACCCGAGCTGGTGTGTGTGTGTGGGGACTCGTTATTTCTGGGGGTTAATTGTGCTGGGACAAGGAGAAGGCGGTATGAAGGTCGGTACGATGGGGCAGCCTCAAAAAATGCACCCGAAACCTGGGTGGTGTGAGCCTGGGTGGGTAAATTCATTAATAAATTAATTCCCCAGGAGGACGAGCAGCCCCTGCAGGGGGAGAAGATGGGGGGAGGATGCACCAGGGAGGGGGCAGACGGGGTGAGGGGAGAGGATGCTCCAGGGAAGTGAGAGATCAGGCTGTCGAAATGATGAATAGAGAGGTGCCCGTCTTCCTTGGGAGGGAGCAGCCTAAAATCAAAGGAAAAGACAGATAACAGCAGAGAGGGAGAGAGGCAGAAGGAAAACCAAGGGGAAAAAAAACAAACAGAAAGAGGAAATTCAGAGAAAACAGTAGAAACAGCAGCACAAACACGATCAGTCATTACCCAGTGTGAGAAGTTAATAAAGCAGAGAAGGGCCATTACCTCCGACCCCCCCCGACGCTGAGGTTTGGGGCAGTATTTCCTGCACAGGTACCATTCCTGTTGAGGCTTTTATGTTTTCCTCCTTCAAACACCATCTTTTTCCTTCTCTCCCTGCCAGGGGTGATGCTGGTGTTTTCGTGAGGATGATTTTTCTTCCACCATCCGTTCGGCTGGGCTCACGTCGCCACCATGTTTCATGCCAATCCCCCCACTTCTTTTTGTGAAGGGTGCTGTGCTCAACCACACAGGCTGGAAAATGGGGGAAAAACGTGGAAAAACAGGGAAAAACATCAAGAGACTCATGCCAATCCCCCCCCCTCCGTTTTGTGAGGGGTGCTGTGCTCAACCACACAGGCTGGAAAACGGGGGAAAAACATGGAAAAACATCAAGAGACACAATAAAAAGAATAGTCTGTCTTAAATCGTTTAACCAGTGTGACTACTGCCCCTAATAATCAGTTAGGAGTCCCCCAAGAGCCACCACTGCCAGCCGGTGGCCAGTGGACCACTAGCCCAGCAGCAGAAGATGCTCAGAACACATTTTTGGCTGTTTGCTCCCCTTTCCCTTTCGCTGCTGCCTCACTTGGTTCAGAGGGAAATCCCGTGGCTAATTGCTCAAGCCAGCCACCAGTCACAACCTGTTTTCAGTGGTTTTGGTGCCAGTAGGAAGCAAAGAGCAGCCACCAGTCACGGGACCACGAGCCACCCCAGGCACGAGAAAAGGAAACCCAATATTTCCTGTAAAAATCATTGTTCCTAAAAATTTCCAATTATGATACGACTCTGAGCTCGACAAGCAAAAGAAATGGGAAAGCAGAGCAGCAGCAATTTGCTGTACATTAATTAGCCAGCCTTATCTCAGGAATATATTAGCCCTGACGGTGCTTGCAGTGTTGGAACCAGCCCCGCAGCCCGGCCGGTGGGAGCAGGGCCAGTGCCCTGCCTGGGGTTGGTACTCCATGGGCTCATATGCCAACCAAAGCAAAATAATTCAAATAGAACCCCCATCCAGCCAGAGATTTCCTCCGGGCCAGCAAACAAGAGGTGCCCTGCCTGGGGTTGGTACTCCATGGGCCAACCAAAGCAAAATAATTCAAATTGAACCCCCATCCAGCCAGAGGTTTCCTCCGGGCCAGCAAACAAGAACAGAAGATGATGGATACAGGTGACAAAAGTGCAATTGGAAACTTGAGCGGCTGCTGAACACCAGTGGGGCTGCGGGGATGCCAGCCTTTCCCAGATGGGGAAATTTTTGCTGCGGGGGGGAACAGCTCTGGCCACTTTTCCAGGGTGGCCACTGGCCATTCCAGGGCTAGGGGCAGTAGCCTGGCCAACCCCATCCATTGTCCTGCTGGCCAGGGAGCTGCTTCCTTGGTCACAGCTCCCAAATGGAGCCTTTACCTCCCATGGGAAACGGAGGAGCCGAAGGGAAGGCAGCCAGGAGGAACCTTCTCCAACCTCCATGCGCTGGTTTTGGTGGGGCTGGGGAAGGGGGAGCGGCGCGATGCTCAAACCCCTCTGCTGCCAGCATCACAGACCTGGCCAGAAGGAAAAAAAAAATAGAGCAAAACCTCAATTTCCAGCTTTGATTCAGTGCTGAGAGAGAGAAACGTGTGGGTCAGCAGGTGCCTCACCTCCCAAAAGGTGATGGTGAAGCCCATTCCCTCGACTCCCACTGCTCAGCCCATTTCCAGCAGCCAGCAGGGAGGGGATGCCCTTTGCCCGTCGGGCATCACTCCCCAGGGAAACACCTCAGCATCATGAGGTTGAGAAACTGCTCTGCCTCAAGCAGCAGCTGGAAAAAAAAAAAAAAAAAGACAAGAAAAAAAGAAAAAAAAAGTTTTCCTTTCAGCTTATTGAACCAACTGTAGTAAAAAACTTCACGTTTAATATGCACGGCCTGCTCCGTGCACTCCACTCTAATAAATTGGTGGAACATCTTGCACAGCTAAATCATTAGGGGGTGGATGAAACACTAGGGGCCAGCTGTAAATGCAAGCAGGGAAAAAAAAAAAAAAAAAAAATTCAACCAGGCACATAAAATATGAGCCAATTTGCTCATCTTGGCTAATAGATGTTAAAAGGCAAATCTGATCATGGATAAGCAGAGAGAATATTAAAAGTTGGGTGTTGCTGGGGCCATCCCTGAAAAAAAAAATTCAACCAGGCACATAAAATATGAGCCAATTTGCTCATCTTGGCTAATAGATGTTAAAAAGCAAATCTGATCGTGGATAAGCTGCAAGAATATTAAAAGTTGGGGTGTTGCTGGGGCCCTCCCTGGATCTGCAAGGGAAGGGAAGGGTGATGGGTGCTCCCAGGAACGCCAGGGAGGGTAGGAGCCTTTATTAGCTCTTACATTAAAAATCTGCTGCTGAACATCAGGCTTTTCAGAGCTCTCGTTTAAAGGTGTGTTGTAGCTTGCTGCTTCCTAATTACCTTGTATGTTCTGCATAATTTTTGTTTTTAATTTCAGATGGGAAAACACCATAAACTCGCTAATTAATTACATTTTAACCCCGGCACATCAGCTGGAGCACACGTTTTGCCGTGCAGCCTCTCCGCAGCACTCCACGGAATCCTCCTCCCAACCCGGCGCCCGGGCAGCCTCCAGAGGAACGGCTGGATTTGCAGGGGATTTCACCAAAACGCCTGGAAAACAAGAGGAAGAGAGAGAACGAGGAGCTGGGTAACCTGATTTTTTGGCTACGGCGGCAGCAGCAGCCGCCCACCAAATCCAGCCCCGGAGGAGGCTGCCCCGGAGCAGAAACCGCTGCGGAGGTGACATTAACGAGTGATTGATGGACTTCATATTTCAAAATACCATGAGCTGCCGAAGAGAAAATGTTTGGAGAATATAAAGCAGCTAAAACTACCACCGGGGACATGTGTGTGGGGGGTAAAAATAATAAAATAAGAAGGCAGAAAGGGAGAGGAAGGAGGTGGCAGGGATGACACGATGTCCAGCTCCCCGACCCACTGGCCCAGGGCTTGTTGCTCCGGTCTCCAGAAGCCGCTGTGGGTTCTGCAGCCACCACTGCTCTCTCAGCTCCTCCTAATTTTCCTGCCGCCTCCTCTCCTGCTGAAAACATCCAGCCCAGGTTTCCTTGATTCCATCACGGTCTGTGTCCAATAATCTTATATGTTAAGGCAGAGCAGAGTGAGGAATCCAGGGGGAAGTAACCCCAAACGAGAGCGTGTGCTCGCCAGGCGGGTGGATGACTGGCTTCTTGGCATCCCAAGCTGGAAATTATGGTTTTTTTCCCCTTTGTTTTTATGAATCATTCATGTTTTCATCGCCTTCAAAAGCAAACAGGCAAATGTAAGCGTTAGGATTTTTAAATGGGAATACATTGATGCGCAAACAAACAGAGGTTTAATTTTCTTTCCTCTGATTCCTGGCGAATGCATGTTAATGAGCAGGTGGGGAGCTGGGGGGCTGTTGAGGGACGTGGGGGCAACGGGAGACAGGGCTGGGCTGGTGATGAGGAAGAGGAGGGCTGGTGATTAGGAAGAGGAGCGTAGGAACAGCCCAATGGCACCATCTCCATCCATTCCCAGGCACAAGGGACACAGCAAAGGTCCAGGGGGGACATCTGGGTGTCCCCCCGAGAGGTGTGGGGCAGGGGTGACATGGATTTTGGGGGACAGAGGGGTTCAGGGCTGCATGGTGCAGCCCCGGTCAAGGGGAGCATCCCTTGGGGACCACGACCGGTCCCTGCCATCGCCCACCATGGACTGCCAGAGCCCCAGTAAAGCTGTTTATGCCCCTCAAGCTCCATCAATCATTTTTTCATAGAGTTGGAAGATTATCGCTTCTTATACGCTACCTCCAGTCCAGCTTGTCACAGGAAAACTCCGGGGAGAAATTCGCAGAGATGTATTAAAGCCATCTAACACTTTCTCCATGGCAACTGGGACCGGTGCAAATCCCATCAGCTCTGCCTGGAGCAGGATGAGAGCTCCTCCGCAGCTCTTCCAGGCGCCCAGATAACGGCAGATAGAGGGGAAAACATCTTCATTAGCTCGAGATGCCTCCCGACTATAACACACAATAACGCTTGATTAACGCCAGAGCATTTATCACTTATGAAATGTGTTTGGTTGAGGCTCCTCAGCAACTTTCCTTTTCCTGCTCGTCTGGGCGACGGCACGGGGAGATGCCGAGGCCAATGTCCGAGCATCCAAGGGGATGGGGGAAGAGAAGTGACGGGGTTGGGCAGAGAACAATGGCAGCTCCATGCGGGACACCTCTAGACTGCCTGACAAAGATCAAATGAGAGCATATTTATAGTAACGCATCATTAATAATACTTCTCAATTTCAAAAGTCTCAGTCTTTGTTTGTTGTGCTGTCCTGGAGGCTGGGATCCTCTCGATGAAGTGGGAGAGGGAGCTCCTGCCTCCAGGAGCAGATGCCAAGTGTTTAATACCAAAAGTTACAGCCACAGCGTGCGCTGGAAGGTCTTTAAAAATAGCTCGAGGTCTGTGTGTGCAGAGACGACATTGCGAGCCGGAGGGATGTCCTACATTTCCCGACTGGCTTAATCCCTCACACTGCTGATAAAATCCTTGCTCATCCTCCCGGTAGGTGAGCTCCCTACCAGGGAGCTGAGCTTCTCATCTCTGAGAAGAACCCATCCCGTAATTAAGGGCTGTGGGCTTGGGACCATTGCAGCTTTGCAGGAGCGGGACATCTCCTGGGATGCAGGAGGACCTCAGCAGGTCCAGAGAGGTGATTCTGCCACTTCACTCTGCTCTGGTGAGACCTCACCTGGAGTATTGTGTGCAGGTCTGGAGCCCTCAATATAAGAAGGACATGGACCTGATGGAGAGGGTCCAGAGGAGGGCCACGAGGATGATCAGGGGGATGGAGCACCTCTGCTCCGAGGACAGGCTGAGGGAGCTGGGGTTGTTCAGCCTGGAGAAGAGGAGGCTCCGGGGACACCTAATAGCAGCCTTCCAGTACCTGAAGGGAGCCTACAGGAAGGCTGGGGAGAACCTGTTTAGAAAGGCCTGCAGTGACAGGACGAGGGGCAATGGCTTCAAGCTGGAGGGGAACAGATTTAGACTGGAGATTAGGAGAGGGTTCTTCACTGTGAGGGTGGTGGAGCACTGGAACAGGTTGCCCAGGGAGGTGGCTGAGGCCCCATCCCTGGAGATATTCAAGGTGAGGCTCGA